GATGCTAATTGAAACTTTGTCTTTTTGGAAGTCTTGTTTTCGTGGTGCAGTGAAAAGTTTGTGATGAGAAATGGGTTCCATTGGGGTATTTAGGGCTATGTTTTAACAACTTTACTGTTATTTAGGTGCATAGCAAATACAGCAGGATAGTTTAGTTCTGTTTACCCAGAAGAAAATAATATACTACAACTGTTGATGTCACCTGCTGTCAATGAACAAGAATGTTGGCTGGGCTTTGTGGGTCACACCTGTAATCCTAGCACTTTGGGAGGCAGATGTGGGAGGATTGCTTTGAGGACAGGAGTTTGAGGCTAGCTTGAACAAGATCAAGACCCTGTCTACTAAAAACACAGAAATTAGCCTGGCATGCTGGCGTTCACCTACAATTCCCGTTACACAGAATGAGGCAGGATGTTTGTTGGAGCCCAGGAGTTTGAGGTTGCACTGAGCTGTGGTGATGCCATGCACTCTGTTTCAGAAATAATTTTAAATGAATTTTATAGAAAGTATGAAAGTGTAGTTACCATTATAACAAAGCAGCACCCTGCCTTTGAGACTGACCTTTCTGCCTTTTTACCTCCACAACAACTCAGACTGCAAGTATGTTTGCATTAATGTACTATGTAGGCGACTTGGCGCTAGGGAACATTCTTTTGTTCTAAGAATTTGCAGATACTAATGTTCTTCCTTTCTGTCCCTTCAGGATGTGGCTTATTGAGAAGGCAAATGGCAGACTTCTACCTTTGATCACTAAAATTCAGGTTTTTTCTTTCTTTCCCAGGAGTTTGACAAGAAGTATAATCCCACCTGGCATTGCATTGTGGGGAGGAACTTCGGTAGTTATGTGACACATGAAACCAAACACTTCATCTACTTCTACCTGGGCCAAGTTGCCATTCTTCTGTTCAAATCTGGTTAAAAGCATGGACTGTGCCACACACCCAGTGATCCATCCAAAAAACAAGGACTGCAGCCTAATTCCAAATACCAGAGACTGAAATTTTCAGCCTTGTGAAGGGAACACCTCGATCTTTGAAACTTTATTGTGTTTTGTACAGGGTAGTCTCTGTACTAGTTTGTTGTGGTTATAAAATAATTAGCAAAACAGCTTACATTTGTATTTATTTTCTATTCCATAATTTTGCCCCATGTTTTCTTTCAAAATCCATTCCTTTAAAAAATAAATCTGTTGCAGATGTGTATGTGTGTGAATTAGTTTGTTTAAATCACAGAGGGTGGGAGATGGTCACTTGATTAGGTGAGCAGATTAGTAGGGGTTAGTCCTTAAGTAAACTACTATAGGATAGAGTAGACAAACTATTTTAGTGTTTTTGAATCTTAATTCTTATCTACCCGGCAGCTGTTGTGCTAGTTGAAAAATGCCTGACAGAAATTTAAGGATTAAATCTTAGTCCTATCTGAAAAAAATCAGCACTTGAGGATAATATTTGTTAAAACAAATTGTTGCAGAATGTTCTGGGCCTTTGGCCTTAGGTGGTGTTGGTGCATCTGTAGTAGTACTCTTATTAAGATTTCTGTGGCTATAAAATAGAAATAAACTCTTAACAAAGAATAAAGAAGTGCATTGTTGGACTCCAGGCCATTCTTTTCCCCGGCCTAGAATCAATGTCTTAGAAGAAAAGTTTTTGAGCAACACTTACGCATTTTGAATAATTTGTTGGGTGGCGAGGTGGCTCCCAAGGCTTGTGGATTGTTTAGAGGAGTTTTGAGACCAGCTCAAAAAAAGTCTGGGAATTTAATTTTTTTTCTTTTTTGCAGCTTTTTGGCCAGGGCTGGTTTTGAACCTGCAACCTCCAGTATATGGGGCTGCTGCCCCAACTCCTTGAGCCACAGGCGCTGCCCAGATAATTTAAAATTTTTTAACCTGTGTTTTAACTACCTGTGATCAGAAAGTTTTAACTATCTATAATTAACAAATGCAAATTGAAGCTTTTTCTTTTTTTTGAGACAGTCTGACTTTGTCACCTTTAGTTGAGTGCCCCAGCATCATACAGCTCACAGCAACCTCAAACTCTGTACAGCTCCCCTCCTCAACAATACCTGGCTATTTTTAGAGACAGGTCTTGCCCTGGCTCTGGCTGGTCTCTAACTCTTGAGCCAATCTCAAGCAATCCACTGGCCTCCGTGGCCTCCCAGAGTACTAGGATTACAGGAAAGCATCACCAAGCCCAACCTGAAGCTTTTTCCTTAAAAGGCTAAGGATAGGGTAGCGCCTGTGGCTCAAAGGAGTAGGACGCTGGCCCCATATGCCAGAGGTGGTGGCCCAGCCCTGGCCAAAAAACTGCAAAAAAAAAAAAAGGCTAAGGATAAACTTTATCAAAGGTTTCCTGCTACCAATTTGGAGAATATTGCCCGTCTTGGGAAGAAAAGCAAATATGGCAGATTTAGCTTTTATAGGTAGAAGGAAATGTGCCAGATGCTGAAACAACCCATACTGATCTTCAAAAATTACTAATAGATGAAGGGTCTGATTTCTAGTTTTTCTTTTCTCTCTCTTTTTTTTTTGAGACAGAGTCTCACTTTATGGCCCTCGGTAGAGTACTGTAGTGTCATAGCTCACAGCAACCTCCAGTTCTTGGGCTTAGGCAATTCTCTTGCCTCAGCCTCCCGAGTAGCTGGGACGACAGGTGCCCGCCACAATGCCCTTGGCTGGGGCTGGGTTTGAACCCGCCACCCTTGGTATATGGGGCCAGTGCCCTACCCACTGAGCCACAGGCACTGCCCAATTTCTAGTGTTTCTATGTAATTCTCCTTTGGATCTGTAAGATGCCTTTGGGGTTCCTTTTTTTTTGCAGTTTTTGGCCAGGGCTGGGTTTGAACCTGCCACCTCCGGCATATGGGACCAGCGTCCTCCTTTGAGCCACAGGTGCCGCCCAGCCTTTGGCATTTCTAAGCAGTCAGGCTACAGCTAGAAAACTAGAGAGTAATTTTATTTTTGACAGTCTCACTATGTTGCACAGGCTGGAGTGCCACGGTGTCAGCCTATCTCACAACAACCACAGACTCCTGGGTTCAAGCAATCCTGCCTCAGCCTCCTAAGTGGCTGCAACCATAGGTATATACCATCACGTGTGGCTAATTTTTGTATTTTCTGGTAGAGACAGGGTCTTCACCAGAACTTGTGGTTTTAGGGGACCTAGAGATGCTAGGGGTCTTAGTAGGTTTTAGGGTCCCACATTAGGACTGGGAGAGATTCAAAGAGGAGGTATAGGCTTGGCGCCTGTGGCTCAAGCGGCTAAGGCACCAGCCACATACACCTGAGCTGCTGGGTTTGAATCCAGGTGGAGCCGGCCAAACAACAACGATGGCTGCAACCAAAAAAAAAAAAAAAAATTAGCCCGGTGTTCCAGTGGGCGCCTGTAGTCCCAGCTACTTGGAAGGCAGAGGCAAGAGAATCTCCTGAGCCCAGGAGTTGGAGGTTGCTGTGAGCTGTGATGCCACAGCACTCTATCCAGGGTGATAGCTTGAAGCTCTGTCTCAAAAAAAATAAAAACAAGCAAAAAGGAGGTATAAAAACTTGTCTTATTATTGTGGTAGTTTTCCCTCTGCTATCTGCAGGAAAGAAGGATGAGGTACTATGGAAAAAACAGGAGACTGTGAGTGGGGCAATTTAGGTTTGTATTTATGTAAACAGACTGAAATGTTGCCAAAATCCATCTTTTTTTCTATCTTTTTTCCCTCTTTAGTGACCTGGTTATATTTCTATTTGAAGCCCAACAGGAATTTGACTTCCAAAGCTATCTTGTCCAATTAGTCCTACTCCAAATAGATGATAAATCTCTAGTAACAGGCCCTAGAACTCACTGAAGACCATACAGCTAGACATTGGGGGTTCGGCTTGAATTTGATCTGGTCCATATCTACTGTTGGGAAGTTGGCAGCTTTTAACTTTTATTTTTTGATTCAGATGTGAGAAAATCATGTTGCTATGGAGATAAGACTGGGTTGATGGTTTATGAAGTTCCTTTCAGTGACTGCTCCTTCCTGTTAATTTCAAAGGCCAATAGGCTCCAGCTGGCTGGAAAAATGTAAGCTAAGCATTTATCAAATGCTCTTAGCTACTGTTCTTTCAGAGAGTTGTAAATAGCTGGCAATATCTGGAAGCTTTTCAGTGACAAGATATTGCTAAGTAAAGGTACTAAGAAATATCTTATAAAGACCTAATTAAATGGCTCGGCGCCTATAGCTCAACCGGCTAAGGCGCCAGCCACCTACACCTAAGGTGGTGGGTTTGAATCCCCAGCCCGGACCCACCAAACAACCATAATGGCTGCAACCAAAAGTGGCAGGTGCCTGTGGTCCCAGCTACTTGGGAGGCAGAGGCAAGAGACTCGCTTGAGCCCAGGAGTTGGAGGTTGCTGTAAGCTGTAATGCCATGGCACTCTACCCAGGGGGACAGCTTGAGGCTCTGTCTCAAAAAAAAAAAAAAAAGACCCAATTAAATTATCTTTACGAAATTATCTTTTTTTAAATTACAGTAAGAATTTACTAAATTGGGCAGTGCCTGTGGCTCAGTGAGTAGGGCACCAGCATCATATACCAAGGGTGGCAGGTTTGAACCCGACCCCAGCCAAACTGCAACAAAAAATAGCTGGGTGTTGTGGCGGGCGCCTGTAGTCCCAACTACCTGGGAGGCTGAGGCAAGAGAATCGCCTAAGCCTAAAAGCTGGAGGTTGCTGTGAGCTGTGATGCCACGACACTCTACCAAGGGCAACAAAGTGAAAATTTGTCTCTGAAAAAAAAAAAAAAGAATAATTTACTAAATTATCTGCTAAATAAATTATCTTTACGATGCTGTTTAAAAACTTTAAGCTTCATCTATACACCCAAGAGAAATTAGTTGGAGTTAAGCAACAACAACAAAAAAACAACTCTGTGAAAAGGCTTGATGCAGCAACTTATGAAAGCAGCAAAAAAGTGACAAGAATTTGTTTCTACTTTGAGATCGGTCAATTCAAAACATGAGTCCAAGGCACATATCCTTAAGAGGAGATGCTTTACTGCTGTCTCATTTGCCAGATTATCTTTTAGTTCCAGACTTTTAAGAGGATGTAACTAGTTCATGCTCCAGGATAGGAAAGGAGTTAAAGTTTGAAGCCAGAATGAATGGCCACAATGCCTGATGTTAGACTTTCATAAGCCACCTTGTGGAAACCTCCATCTTCTATCATGTCCTTGAATTCTTCCTAAAACAGAATGAAAGATACAGCAAGGATTACCTGGATTTCAACTTTAGGACCTTTGTTTTATGCTATAGAAGTTTTGTACCTGAGACGGGAACCTTCGGATACTCTCTACGAGGTATTGATAGGACTTCCAGTCTCCTGCAATGACTTCTCCAAGGACAGGAATGACCTGGAAGCTATATAAATCATAAAGCCTATGCAAACAAAAAGGTGAAAGATTAAGACTGAACACCCTCCTCATTTATCCCCTGGGTAGGAAGCAAGAAGGTATAAGCCTAGGGTCATAATCTCTTATTACTATAGAGGTCAAGCAAGTACCTGAAAGAAGTGAAGTGGGCCAGGTGTAGGGACAGATACAGTAAAGGCAGTATCATAAGAATGAAGAAAAGTGAGCTACTACTCAGCTCTGACTACTGCATGTAGGAACATGGGCCTATCCAAGGTTGCCATGTATCTTGCTTCTCAAGTGAAGATGGAAATAAAGATCTTTATGGAACACTATGTCTATATTTAAAAATCAGAAAATGCCTGATTTATGAATCATAAAATTCTACAAGTCAAACAAAATATGTAGGTAGACCAACTTGGGCCTCATTTGAGATTCTTCTGGCCTAGGTATTGCCTTTCAAAACTGGTTGATCTCTAAGTAACAAAGTTTATAGCTTACTGGCTATTTTCTATCTATTTGAAATGGAAAACCTTTGTCTAGGCAATGAAGATAAAGCCTTGTTAACAATGCCAACCAAAGGCTCAGCACCCATAGCACAGTGGTTATGGCACCAGCCACATAGACCTAGGGTGGCAAGTTCAAACCCAGCCCAGGCCAGCTAAACAATTGCAACCAAAAAGTAGCTGGGTGTTGTGGCAGGTGCCTGTAATCCCAGCTACTTGGGAGGCTGAGGCAACAGAATCGCTTAAGCCCAAGAGTTGGAAGCTCCTGTGAGCTGTGACACTATGGTACTCTCCTAAGGTCTACTAAGGGTGACATAATGAGACTCTGTCTCCCAAAAAAAACCCACAACTATTTAAAAAATAAACAATGCCAGGCAATGCCTGTGGTGGGGCCTGTGGCTCAAAAAAGTAGGGTACCAGCCCCATATGCTGGAGAAGGCAGGTTCAAACCCAGCCCCGGCCAAAAACTGCAAAATAAATAAATAAATAAATAAATAAACAATGCCAACCAGAGCTATGTGTGATGGCTCATGTCTGTAATCCTAGCACTTTGGGAGGCCAAGATAGGAGGATCACTTGAGCTCAGGAGTACAAGACCACTTTGAGCAAGAGGGAACCCCATCTCTACTAAAATAGAAAAATTAGTGAGGCCTTGCAGTCCCTGTAGTCCCAGCTACTCAGGAGGCTAAGGCAGGAGGATCTCTTGAACCCAGGAATTTGAGGTTGGTAAGAGCTAGGCTGATGCCACCACACTCTATCCTGGGCAACAGAATGAGACTCTGTCTTAAAAAACAAATGAACAAACAAACCAATGCCAACCTGGATATTAAGGGATTGTTCACTTGGCTAAACTCCAGGCAGAGAAACCGTCCTCCTGGTTTCAGGACCCGATGGGCTTCCTGGAGTGCCTGTACAAGACAAAGAACAATAGGCACACTCCTCAGTAGACCTCACTCAATTCCATGAGGTATTATTCTTATCTTTCTTTCTTTTTTTTTTTTTTTCAGTTTTTGACTGGGGCTGGGTTTGAACCTGCCACCTCCGGCATATGGGGCCAGTGCCCTACTCCCTTGAGCCACAGGCACTGCCCGAGGTATTAGTCTTCATTGGGAAGCTGTCATAGCAGAAATAACTTTTTGTACCCTAAGTGCTATAGGCATTCTGCCTGTGACTATAGAAGGTTAGGTGGAGTAAACTGAAGTCTGCAATAAGGATTCCATTTAAAAAGAATAAATAAGAAAGAAAATAAACTGAAGGACATGTTTGGAATTATTTACCAAAATCACATGTATATTCTCTGATAAACTTTTTTTTTTTTTTAAAAACAGAATCTTACTTGGTCACCCTTGGTTGAGTGCTGTGGCATCTTTGGCTCAAAGCAACCTGAAACTCTTAGGCTCAGGTGATCCTCTTGCCTCAGCCTCCCAAGTAGCTGGGACTATAGGTGCCAGCCACAAGACCTGGCTTTTTTTTTAAGAGATGGGGTTTCTAGGGTGGTGCCTGTGGCTCAGTGGATAGGGCGCCAGCCCCATATACTGAGGGTGGTGGGTTCGAACCCAGCCCTGGGCAAATTGCAACAAAAAATAGCCTGGCATTGTGGTGGTCGCCTATAGTACACCTCAGCTTCACGAATAGTTGGGACTACAGGCACCTATCACAATGTCTAGACAGGGTCTTGCTCTTGCTCAGGCTGGTCTTGAGCTCCTGAGCTCAGGTCATCCACCCACCTAGGCCTCCTACAGTGCTAGGATTAGGTGCTTGAGCTACCCTGCCTGGCCGTTGTTGTTTCTGTTTTTTTTAAACCAGAGTAGAAACAGACAGAAAGTACCTTTTTTTTTTTCCCCTTGAAATTACCTCTTTCTGCAAGGAGAAGCTAAGACATAATGTTTGATGGCCAAATCTACAGCTTAACATTACCTCTTTAGAAAGTGGCTTAGGGTGGCACTGTTGCTCAGTGGGTAGGGCACTGGCCCCATATACCAAGGATGGCAGGTTTGAACCTGGCCCCGTCTAGCTAAAAACAGCAGTGGCATCTGCAACAAAAAATAGCCGGGCATTGTGGTAGGTGCATGTAGTCCCAGCTACTTGGGAGGCTGAGGCAAGAGAATCACCAAAGTCCAAGAGTTGGAGGTTGCTGTGAGCTGTGACACCACAGCCCTCAGTAAGACTCTGTCTCTTAAAAAAAAATAATAATAAAGATGGGGTCTCACTGTTGCTCAGGCTGGTCTTGAACTCGTGAGCTCAGGCAATCCACCCACCTCAGCTTCCCAGAGTGTTGGGATTACAGGCATGAGCTACCACACCCGGCAGAGTGACCCATACCTGTAAATCCACTTTCTAACAAGGTAATGTTAAGCTGTAGATTTGGCCATCAAATATTATGTCTTAGCTT